TAGAGAAGCTATATAGTAACTTAAATAAGAAATATAATACTCGGTAAGCCTTTAAGAAGCTATTTATAAAGAAAAGCCAGATTTTTTAAGAATTCTATATTTTATTCCTGAAATATATAATAAATAAAAATATTAATTTATAGAACCTTAAGAATAACCTAAATAATAAGCTTACTTAGAAGCTTTAAGAGGCCATAGCTATATACTATAATAACCCGGCTATTTATACTATAAAGTTTATATAATATTATATTATAAATAACTAATAAATCCGAGCTTATTATAAAAAGAAAAATTAGGTATTTAAGAAAGCTAATAAAGATATAAATAAGCCAAATTCAGGAGGCGCCCCTTATATAAAGCCTGCTTCTAAGACTCTAGTAATAGATAAGCCTATTATCCTAAAGCCCGGATTCTTAGATTTTAAATACTATAACTATAATAGATTTAGTTATATATTTAAAAGCTATCTAGAGCCTAAGACCAAGTATATAAAGCAAGTCTTAATAGCTAAGCTAGTAATACTTACTATAAATAAGCTATCTAAGAATATAAAACAGGGAAATAAGAATCCCTAAAGGAAGTTTCCTTTTTAGGGCTATATTATATAAATATAACAGAAATTAATTTGAGCTAATTACTAGGAAATAAAGCATTTATATTTCCTTATATAATTAGTAATAATAGATTAGGTATTAAGACTTCTTTTCTTATTAATACTAAAGTAAATAAATATATTTTTATTAATTTCAAGTTTATAAGAATAATTAAATAATTTCTAGATATTAAGCCTATTTAATTAGTATTATCCTATAATATAAGAGAATTTAATAATAAGTAAGCTATATTTATTACTTATTATATTAAGCTTATACTTTTAATTAATAAATGAAAAGTTCTAGTACCTATACTAATTATAGAACTAGGAAAATATAATATGATTTTGGAATAATAATAATTTATAAGTACTAGTATCCTAATTAATTATAAGAATAAAAGATTAATCTAGCCAGATAATTAGCCTAGAAAAAAGAATTAGGATAAGGTTCTAACTATTATATATAAGAACTTAGAACCTGGAAAAAATAACTAGTATTAAGAAAATATAAATAAAAGAAATAAAGCTATAGCTATAAATAAATTCTAGAGATCTTAGTTTATAAAAAGAAAACTCTTTTATTCTTTTCCTAACCTGGGCTCAGAAAGCTATATATAATAAAAGAATTAAGCTTAATATTATAGAGAAATACAAGTAGTCTTAGGGAATATAAAGATTTCTCTTAAGCTAGAAACAGGAATATTAAAACTATATTATTTAAAGAAAAGCCATAAGAGCTAATTAAGGCCTATAATTAATATTATAGGTATCTTACTAGTCATTTTCTAGATAAATCTATAAAAAAAAAGAACTTTTTTTTTATAATATTATTTTTCGAGATTAATAAAGAGCTAGAATTATAATAAGAGAATAAGTTTATTTCGGGCAAATAATAGCTAGGAGAAATAGAACTATAGTAGCTAATAAGAGTTTTACTAAAGAAGTTTAAGAATTTTATAGATATTTTCTTAAAAAAATTAAAAAAAATCTTATTCCCGTATTAATTATATAATTATAAGATTTAGGTTAATAATTCTAAAGATCCAGAAAGCCTAGGATATTTCCTGCTTTATTAATAGTTAATTTATAAGCTATAGAAAATCAAGTATTTCCTTAAAAAGAACCTCTAATAAGGCTTTATTAAGCCAAGCTAGTTCTCTTTTATATTTCTAATTCTTTTTATAAAGAAGGCTAATAAAGCTCTCTAATTTTATATTAATTATTATAAGCTAAATAACTTAATATAAAAGAATTATTATTCTTTTTTCCTTATTTATAAGACTTTTATATAGCTAGCTTAAACTAAGATCTATATAAAGCTAGATATTTAGTAAGTATTTTATTAGATTTAAATAGATTCAAAATTAGAAGAACTTATAATATTTTATATAAGATATAGGGCCTATAAATATAAAGTTCTTTAGAAAGGCCTAACTAATAGCCTTATTATATATTAGAGATATATAAATAATATTTTCTTTAATTACCTTAATATCTTTTATATAGCTTATTTAGATAATATTCTAATTTACTTAGATAATTCCCTAGAATATAAAGACTATATATAAAAGATTCTTTAATAATTATAAAATACTAGCTTCTAAGCAAATATTAAGAAATTAGAGTTTAAGATTATTTATATAAAGTATCTAGGCTTTATTATCTTTACTAGAAATATTAAAATAAATCTAGATAAGATAATAATTATTAAGAACTAGTAATTACTAAAGATAATTAAAGAAATATAAGGCTTTCTAAATTTTTATAACTTTTATTAGTATTTTATTACGAAATATAATTATATAATAAAGCCTTTAATAGCTCTAATATATAAAGAAGTTCCGTTTAAATAAATAGATTAGTATTAAGAAAGTTTTACTAAGCTAAAGTAAGCTATACTCTTAGTACTAATTCTATATTACTATAATTCGAATCTCTCTATTATAATTAAAATAAATATATTAAATAGAGTTATAACCGGTATTTTCTTATAATAAAATCCCTAGATAAGACTCTAGTACCCAGTAGTATTTTTCTCTAAGACTATATAATTAGTAGAACTGAACTATAATATCTATAATAAAGAAATACTTACTATTATTCTTTTCTTAACTAAATAATAAGTAAAACTAGAAGGCTTATAAGAAGTATTTTTTATAATTTACTCAAATTACCGAGCTTTCAAATATTTTATAATTATAAAGAAGCTCTTAATAAGATAAGCTTACTAGATAAAATATCTTTCTTATTATTATTTTAAGTTTATATATTAGGTAAATAAGTTAAATAAATAAGCGAATGCCTTAAATAAGAAATATAAGAATATAATTATCTAGAATAAGATAATAATAGCCTATTAAACCCAAATTTTCCTCTTATAATAAAAGATTAATAATAATATTATATAGGATTTCTAGTTAGTCCTAATTAAGACCTTAATAAGCCCGGCTCAGGAAAAAACCTAATATAATAGTATCTAGTTAGTAAATAAGTTATTAAATAAGAACCGAGAATTACTAAAGCTAGAAAAACTATAAGATAAGGCAAGAAATAAAAAGAAAGGCACTTAAATATTATAAGAAGGCCTCTTCTTATAATATAATAAATTATTTATATCTAATAATATAATAATATTTAAAATATTCTTATATACTACTCTTATTTAAGAGATATATATATAATTTCTAATAAGATACCTAGAATAAACCAAGCTTTAATAGCTTCTTTAGGCCTACTATTACTAGCTAGGCTAAGGTATAGATATTAATTACTATAAGAATAATTACTATATTTACTAATAATTTCATATTTCTAGAAATAAGAAACTAGGGCTCTTATATCTATTACTAGTTCCTAACTATTTCTAGTAATATATATTAGTAAATTTTAAGAAATACCTAGAAAATAGAAATAAGTATAATATAGTAGTAATTTTTATTAATTATCTAGATAAGTATCCTATTATAATTTCTATTCGAGATATAGTAATAGCTAAAGAATTAGTACTTTTATTCTTTACTTATATAGTTTATTAAATTAGTATCCTAGAAACTATAGTATCTAATTAAGGTCCCTAGTTTATATTAGATTTCTAGAACAAGTTCTATAAATATATTAGTATAAAGCTCAAGTTATTAACTATTAATTATTCCCAAACTAATAGTTAGATAGAAATTATTAACTAGTACTTTAACTAATAGCTATATTCCTATATAAATTACTACTAGGATAATTAGGACAAATAAGTAGTAATAATTAATTACTAGTAAATAGCTCTAGTTTATAAGATTATAGGCCAATTTCCGTTTCTTATAGAAAAGAATTATAAACCGCAGATATTATTTAACTAGGAAATCTAAGTATAATTAGGTATTCCGAAAAAAGAATTAAATAAATAAGAGGCAAAAGCCCTAGTAATATGGCTCTATAAATTATAGTAAAAGATATAGGAGAATATAATATAAGTATAAGAATATTATATTACTTAAGCTAATAAATATTACTAACTAGTAAATTTTAAAGTAAGAAATAAGATATAAATTACTACTAAGTACTAGAAAAATAATTATCCGAGCTATAAGCTGGCTTACTAAATAGAAGAACTATATGAAATCCTGAAATAAGTAAGATATTTCTTTAGGCTTAAGCTTCCGGAATTAATAAGAATATATCCGGTATTTTATATAAAGAAGTTATATAAAGACCTAGATAACCCTTTTCCCGGATAAGCAAATCCGGAGCCTTTACTATTAGAACTATAAGACGGAGAAATAAAGTATAAAGTTCAAGAGATATAAGTAGTAAAACTACTTTATGGGAAGCTAAAGTACCGAGTCTAGTAGAAAGAATAGGACCCAGATCCGGAATAGTATCCTGTTTCCTTATTAAGTAATAGTATCCTAGCTCTTTAGAGCTTCCATAACAAGAACCCCGAATAGCCAGGATTGCCCTAGAATCTCCCCTATTAGTTAGACTATACCAAGAATAATATATTACCGGAACCGTATAATACGGACGGAAATCCTTTAAAGTCACGTGCAAAAGGCCCTGGCCTTTGACATGTGACCTGCGACTTGGAAATTCAATAGGGACTTTCGAAGCTCGGGGACGAGCTTACTTCGAGGGGGGGGTAATGTTATGGTTATTACGATATATGGTACTAGTAGGGGTTAGACTAGAGCTAGAGAGGCATCTGGCATCTGAGAGAGGCATCTATAGTTACCTGATTGTTGCACGTGATCCCGAGCTTAAGCTAGCACGTGGGCCCGTGCGTAGCTCGCGATTATTTAGATCCGAGTCCTTCGAGATCCTCTTCTCTCTTTAGCTTTGAATCGTCGAAATAGAGACAGTCTAACCACGCCTTCCAGGCCCTAGATCTTGTGCTCGTGACATATAGTAATTCTTTTTAGGCTTTTTTCTATAAGTACAAAGTATTACGAAAACGGACATCTCCAACTATGCAACGCAATTAAGATGGCGTAGTCGCGGCAATGGGGAACAGCGGCAATGGATTGCAAGGAATGAACGCAAGCTGCGGATTCGAAAAGTGCTGAAGCATCAAGTAGTCAAACAACAATTAAAGGGCGAAACACCAAGCAAGCACAGCTTGAAACAGATTCCATTGTATCTTTGTCGTCGCCTACAACCCCTACGCCAGTACATTCAGAAGTTCTTTCCCCTCGTGCCACCGCTCGACAATCTCAACCTGTTCCTCATACCAAGCCCCCATCGTCTCGCCCTCCACGTACCCCATATGCGGACTCAACAGCACTTTACTCCTCCCCTCCGTTCCCCACTTCTCACTCCTCCACCACGAATCTTTGGGCAACGGCTCAATCTCAAAGACATCCACCGCTGCCCCTCTAATGGTCCCTTTCTCCAGCACCTCCAGTAGTGCGTTATTATCCACTAATGGCCCTCTCGACGTATTAACGAACAGCGCGCTCGGTTTCAACAACGCCAAGTCGGCAGCACCGACGACTCCCCTTGAGCGGTCGGAAAGCACGTAATGCACGCTTAACACATCTGCCTCTTTAAACAACTCCTCTTTCGAAACAACCTTGAAGACTTTCCCATCCTCATCCTCGACCGGCAATCCCAACGACTTCGCCTTTTCGTCAGCAGCATCTTGCGTAAGACTCGAGCTCCAAGCCAAGATCCGCATTCCAAAACTCTGATACATGATCTTCGCAACATTGCCCCCAAGCCGTCCAAGTCCGAGGGTAGAGAAATTCTTCCCGGACAACCCGGTCGCGAGGTCCGTCTGCCACCCTCCTTCCTTGACTCCCTTGTCGTCGCTCGCAATACCGCGCGCAATGCCAAGGATAAGAGCGACCGCATGCTGGGTCGTTGAATCAGGGCCTCTCTTCTTCTTTGCCGCAGCTGAGGTAGAGCGCCCTTTCCCAGGAGCACCGGTCACGTGGATGCCGAGCTCCTTCGCTGCAACCATGTCGATGCCTGCATTTCGGACTCCCGTAGTGAGGAGGAGTTTGAGGTTGGGTAGTTGCTCTAAGAGATCGCGCGGGAAAGGAGTGCGTTCGCGCATGGAGGAGATGACGGTGAAGGGTTTGAAGCGGTCGACGAGTTGTCGTTTAACTTCTGGAGGGGTGGAAGGGTGGTTGTAAGGGAGGAGAGTGTCGCCGAAGACGGTGATGGAGAATGTGGGTTTTAAATTTTCGAAGTGTGGTGTGGCCATGTTTTGGTAGTCGTCGAGGATGGCGAGCTTGATCGGAGTTGGAGGAATGGGAGGCATAGTGATGTGTCTAATCGGTTGTTGGAGGGAACGAATTCGAGAAAGCTTGTTTGCAGCGAACATTAAAAACTCAATTGAGGTATAGAATGAAGAAGAGAGCCCTTTCACTTGAAAGAGACTCCGATAGAGCTTGGCAGAGAAGGGATAAATGTATATCCCCCAGATGGAGGAGGCGTTCGCCGTTGGCTCAACCCCACTTCAGTCGAAAGCGGGGCGGTATCGGGGAGGCCCCTCATGACGCAATTTTGTCAGCAGCAGTTTTGGACGAGTGAACACAACTGACAAAGCAGCGAAGAAGTGTGGGAATTTATATCACGTGTAAACACTTCTAGCACCCCAGTGGGGCTGGATGTGCGATGAAAAAGTTCGAGGCGCTGTTTCCCCTTCGATTCCCCATTGGTGCGCATGTTGGCGGATCAGCTACTTCGTCGGCGATTGCTGCCCCGACTCATAAAGACCCCCACCACAAAAAGTCGTGGAAAAGCTTCGGGATACATTAACTTTGATTCGTGGAGAGTAATTAGAGCTCATATAAATGGTCCCGTCTGGTACCGGATTGCTTTTGCTCCTGGAATTGGAGCGGCAGATGATCCATAATAGCTGCACACTGCACTCCGTATTCGCATCCCACGGTTGACACAGGTCAGTTGACACGATACACAACGGCCACACGTTGAGCGTGCGTTGTCAATTCACCCTGCGGACAGGAAAGAGAGATAAGAACAGAAGCAACCATGGCTCCTTCTGCAACAGAAATCCCAAGAGCTGCTATGGAGAAACCTTCAAAGGCCAATATTGGAGTGTTCACGAACCCGGAGCACGACCTGTGGGTGGCGGAGGCGTCGCCGTCTGTTGAGAACATTGAGAAGGGCGACAGTCTGAAGCCCGGAGAGGTGACAGTTGGGATCAAGAGTACCGGGATCTGCGGGTCAGTAGCAAGAGGTCTTCATAGAGCTTCGCTAACTTCATATCAGTTCCGATGTTCACTTCTGGCATGCAGGCTGCATTGGCCCTATGATTGTGAGGGACACACATATCCTCGGTCACGAATCTGCAGGTGTTATTCTGGCCGTCCACCCTTCTGTCGAGACTCTCAAAGTGGGGGATCGAGTCGCCATTGAACCCAACATCATCTGCAACGAATGCGAGCCATGCCTCACGGGACGATACAACGGTTGCGAGAAAGTCGAGTTCCTCTCCACCCCGCCTTATCCCGGTCTCCTTCGCAGATATGTCAACCACCCTGCTATCTGGTGCCATAAGATTGGCGACATGTCTTTCGAAGATGGAGCATGTTTGGAGCCATTGAGCGTTTCCTTGGCAGCTATGCAACGAGCTGGTGTCAGGCTTGGAGATCCAGTCCTCATTTGCGGCGCTGGCCCAATTGGTCTCATCACTCTCTTGTGCTGCCAGGCTGCTGGAGCCTGTCCACTTGTCATCACCGATATCGACGAAGGAAGGTTGGAATTTGCCAAGAATCTATGCCCATCCGTCACCACTTTCAAAGTCGAGCGAGTATCAGCAGAGGAGTCCGCAAAGTCGATCGTAGCTGCATTCGGAGGCATCGAGCCTGCCATCGCAATCGAGTGTACTGGGGTCGAGAGCAGTGTAGCTGCTGCAATCTGGGCCGTGAAGTTCGGAGGGAAGGTATTCGTCATTGGAGTCGGGAAGAACGAGATGACCATGCCATTCATGAGACTAAGTGTTCGCGAAATCGACCTACAATTTCAGTATAGATACTGCAATACCTGGCCACGAGCTATCCGACTTGTGCAGAGCGGAATCATCGATATGAAGAAGCTGGTGACCCATCGGTTCCAGCTCGAGGATGCAGTGAAGGCATTCGAGACAGCTGCCAATCCAGAGACTGGGGCGATCAAGGTGCAGATAAAGAGTGAAGATTGAGAGATTCCACAGGAGAAGCGTTGTAGAGGCGAACATAGCATGTAGAATAACCGTGAATCCGACCGTGGTTTTCACTGATTTTACGAAGCTTCTTCCTAGTGAATCCTGTGCTAGAGAAAGCCCAAAATCCCAACCAATCAAACCTCGCTTACGTAAGAACCATCTTTTCCTCTTTCTTCCGAAAACCTTACAATTTTCTGGCGCGATTCCCTCCCAATCCATTGTACGGCCACCACTCCCTCTCGAACCTCGAGAAGCATTTCCTTGAGTCTCTCGGGCGCATATTCCTCCTCAATCATGTCCTTCGCCGCGTCGCGCGTCCTACGGCGCACCACCCAGCTCCCAATCGGACGAACCACTGCAAGATTCGAATCGACAGCTTCGAAAGCCACAGAGGCCGCAAGGGATACCGCCTCGAAAGCTTCCGAAAAAGCAACCGAGTACAAGAGTAAAGCTTCGGAGGGCCTGTCGAGGGTCACTTCCGCGGCTGGTCCGGCTATCAGTGGTGCGGCCAAAGGTGTTGGGAATGCTCTCGGGAAGATTGGAGGACGGACTGGACGGTTGATTGCGTTTATTGAGCGTAAGTATCCTGTTTAAAAGTGCAATTTGAATGCGCGGAGAAAGTTTGGGAGCTCAATGGCTGATTCTGCGGTTACAGGACAAATCCCGCCGACTATCTACTATGCGCGGGTTGGACTGGAGCTTTCCAGGCTTGTCTTCAAGGGGCAGAGCATGACTCCTCCGTAAGTTTGATTCCTGAAACTCAGATAAAAGGTTGGAGACTGATACATGAGAATAGACCCGTCTCAACGTTCCAGGCATATTTCCAACGCGCCGTCAAGAGCGTACGAAACCCAGCCGCCCTCTTCCCTTCCTCAGCCAATGCCACCCCGTCCGGCGTCCTCAACCAGATCCGAAATCTCAATACAAGTCAAATTGTCGCCGGAGCTGTGGTTGGTGCTGAGATGTTAGGTTTCTTTACCGTTGGAGAGATGATTGGCAGATTTAAGCTTATTGGTTACCGAGGCGATACTGGTGCTCACCACTGAGCTGTGAATGGAATAGAACTGGAAGACGATAGATTGGTGGGAAGTCGTAAAGGGGACAAGGATGAGGGGCAGGACGTGAATGATCTTGAATCGGTCGTGAAGAGAACCGGGATCAAGGGATTTTGACGTTTTATTGCACATATCCTGTGACAAATTTTCTTTGTATGTCTGTACATCACAACAATAAACAGCATCATGACGGATTACACTTGTTCTGCTTAGAAAGATCTGGCCTTGGTACTTTGCCCTGGCCTCTGCTTAGGATTGAGCCGGATCGAGAGAGGGCAGCTCCCCCAACCAAATGCCACAACGGAAGGACGATCAGGAGCTGGATTCTTCGGCTGCTCCATGCCATCCAGCCCAAGTCCAACTTAAAGGAACCTCGCACCAAAACCAAACTGATATTAGGAGCTTCATGAATTCCTCACGTGAATTGCACCAGCCACAGTTTCGCCTCAAAATTCTCACCTCTCTCTTCATCAGTCCCTCATTCAACTTCCCTCTAACTAATTCAAGCATCCAGGAACATCCTCCCACTTCCCCCTCAAAGCTTCAAACCATCCCATTTTCAACTCCATCTGAGGCTTAGATTGTGCATATTTCAGCCAATAACGGCAAAGATCTTCTCTCAGCCGGACCCAGCCGTCATCCATCCACCCCATTCCAATGGGGATCCGGCTCCTCGCTCACAACTTGACGTCCATCCTTTGATTCGGGTTTCAACGTAACGTATCACTGGACGACGTTGAGATGGAAACTACTTCTCAGACTTCCCCATGCGGTGAAAGATTGCATGACGCCGTCCCTGCGCCTGAGAGCTTGACACCGAGACCGTGTCGATTTGATGTGGAAGATCAACGGGTCTAGAAACTCTATTTAGTCTTTACAGATATAAATCCTCCAAGAGGTGCCGTGGTGAGGATATCCTCCTCCATTCGAGAGCCGCTGGCACTCCTGACCTCATACTTGCCCCGCTCTCCCCATGCACGATGAAACCCCCTCCTCTTCCGCTCTCGACCGCCGCTTTTCTCACCTCCACCACAGCGGCCAAAGTTCTCAACCTCAGCGAAGCAAAATGGACTCTTACAAGCCCTGGAAATGAGAGGTTTCAAGGAGTGGCAGGAAAGGTACCGAGTTAAGCACATGCCCTTTCTTCAAACCTGGCGACAAGCTCCAGACCCCGCTGATCTGTATTTCAACAGCAACACCATCGTCCTAAGAAACCACTATTACCAGCCCGGCGGTCTCAACACCTCGAATTTCCTCACCACTACCACCGGAGTGGTGGAGATGACGCTCGCTATAGAACAGTACTACCCCATCCCACACCACTCCGACCCTGTAGCGAACTTCTCATCCTGGTGTCGGACAACGCGGATCTTCCAAGCAGACTTCTATCGCACCCAAATCACTTATTATCGTCGAGGATCTGGGTTTCCGGAAAGGCAGTTGGCGAGTCTGTATTGGCAGCTCGAGGGCATATGGCAAAGCTCCCACGTGGGCAGGCATTGGGTGTGACGGAAGGGGAAAGTGCTGCACTACGTTGCTAAAGATATTTACCAACCGATCATCACCGCGAGCTATCTCAACGACACGACGGGCGATCTTACGGCGGATGTGACCTCTGATCTTTGGAGCAAAGTGGAGGGGACGGCGACCTTCGCATGGTATGGTTCCAACGGGACTCTCCTCTCCTCTCCTCTCCCCGCCGTCACTTTCACCGCCGGGGCGTTGAATACCGCAAAAGTTTTGTAAACCACCATGAACGACCTACCTTACCCTCTCGCATCCTCCGTTCCTCAAAGTGAATATCACAGCCACCGGTCTTCCCCCCCTCACCAATGAAACACAAACTTCACACATTCACCCATCTTCGCAACATCTTAGTTACACACCGTCACCATTTCTGATCCCGGGCTAGAATGACTTGGGATGAAGAGAAAGTGGTGTTTATGGTCGAGGCGAAGAAAGCGTTTGCAGCGTGGGTCTGGCTTGATCTCTAAGCTGGTGTGTTGGGAAATTTTGAGAGTATTGGGTTTTTGCTGTTGCCAAGTGGTGGGGTGAAGGACGTGAGGTTTACGTTGAAGGATGATGGTGGAGTGCGGGGGTTGCAGGGTTTGGTGGGGGTGAGGAGTTTGCTGGATAATAGTCTGCCTTGACGTGTTTGTACGCGATAAAGGATGTTGATTGGGCATTTAAAAGTCGATGAGGTGGAACTTTATGAATTACATGCGTAAATATTATGGAACGTGGGTACAAAAGCTCTTCTCGCAAGTTGGTTGAGTACGCAGCAAATTCGCTCCGTTTGCCCATTTCAGGGAATCTGGAAAGACAAGTGTCCATTTCTCTAATTTCACAAACCAACCCCACGCTTTTTCCCTGCAAGTGAAATCCAGGCTCCAACAATTTTTGTTTTCAGGTCCTTCCTCAATACCAACTCTGGACGTTTACAGGTCATCTGTCACAGAATGACAACAACAATCTGCTATCATTCTTCCTTCTCATTCCGTCTTTCGATTCCCCATCCCCCTCTTCAGCGTCCCGCTGCTACTCTCATGTTGTGCCGCAAGCCCAAAGCTCGATAACTCCCAAAGTCGGAGAATTTGTGCTAGCTTCCAAACTTTTGAAGGAAGCTTGGATACTGCTCTCCCTTGCGCTTCATCTCCATCGCAACTTGGAAGGTGGGATGGTCCGGCAAGGCGTTTATAGCCCAGCGAAAGAGAGCGTAATGGGAAGCTGTTGTCAGTTAGAAGATGGAAGTTGAGAACTGTTCATATCAATTCTTATTGGGTAATAGTTTACCGCGGCAACTTCAGTCCTCATTAGGCCAATATGCAGGCCGATGGTTGAGGTGGCATGTAGAGACGTGAGAAACTTTGCTTCAGCATCAGCATGGGTATAAAAGTTCCTCTTCCGAGTTGGTTGGCAAAGGTAGGATGGAAAGACAATAGGAGGCTCTTATACATGTGTGCGGTCGTGTTCACTTTCACTTCTGGACATGCTGGAAGATTTGTAGCTTGCAAGTGCAGCATCCTCAACTCGCTCCTCAATATCTGCTCGGTGTCTGACTGCTCTTGCAAGTATTCTATGGAAATTATTATCAAAATGACAATAAAAACTACTCGTTGTCATTCTTTTTTCACATCTCGTTACGAATTCTTTTTCTTCCATTATGGTCCCCTAAAACTAACTATGAATATACCGCAAAAAATAATTAATCAGCTTACATTCCCGAAGCCGACATTTGACCAAGCCCCCATTGCCCTTACCCATGAACTCCACAGAGCCCTCGTAGCTCGAGACTCAAATAGCTCCAAGTTTATCACCAAATACTTTCCAAGTCTTCCGTGAGCGTAACCGGAATGTTTATCTTTATCACATTGAAGAAAATGCTTCTACTACTATTTATCGGAAGGAAATAAGCCGACTCCTTCAACTTTGGTCAGGGCCAGCAGACAATTCTGAAGAATCTAAAGCAAGGAGTAGAATGTGATATATATTATTTCCGAGGTGTACATCACTGGTGATCAGAGAAAGTGGCTCGTGTTCTCTCTTGAGGTATCCAAATTGCGGCTGAGTGTTCTGAATAGCCTCAAGCTATCACTATTTTATGTTGAGAAACTGGAGAATCGACCGCTCGGTTTGTAGGTGGTACAACGTAGAGGTAGAACTGGGGTGCTTCGAAACTCCAGGCACGTGACTTTCAAAGCAGCCCCCCCCCTTTTTCATTCTCGCTAAAGCTTCCCTTGATACACCACGTAGTATTTTCAACCGGCACCCAATTGGTTAAGGATGCGATTCTATACCCACTTATTTGTAATCAAAGTACCTCCCTCTAATGTTCTGCTCAATGTTCAGGTCTCGGGTGCTCGCTTGTGAATGGCTGAGGCTGGCGGTCCCGATTCGCTCACCGTGTGGGTTTACGGTTGCAGCTGCATGTTGTAAAATGCCACTTGGAGTGCGCCTTGCAGTATGTCTCATAATTCGCTTCGCACAAATGACGTGTGAAAATGATCCCTCACCTGGAAGTCGACTCTCATCGTAACTTAACCTTGCGGAAGCCGATTTCAATCCACTTTCGTCCTATGTTCTATTCGAAGACCTCAATCACACCGCTACTAAGTGGCTAATGCTAATATGGACGGGCTAAGCGCAACCTCGAGCTATATTGCTATCTTATCTTTGGCCGTACAGCTAATAAATGCCACGCAGAACCTGCGAGCATTCTTCACAGATGTAGCTGGAGCACCTGGCGAGATACGAAGGCTCGCCACAGCTTTGTCGCAGCTGGCAGACATTTTACAAGACGTCCAAATGGTTAGCAAAATCCAGGAAGCACAGATCGGAGCCCCTCCTGCGCCACGGTCACTCCTTGCATCCTTGGATGCCTGCAAGGATGAGTTATTCTAGCTTTAGGTATATGTCAACGCGGCCGAACAGAAGACAAGGGGTTCAGGAAAAATATCTAGACATTGGGAGTCATTCATGATTGTAGTCAAAAAGAAGGAGATAGAGAAATATGGATCGCAACTCGACCAGGCAACCCAGTTTCTCTCGATAGCGATGACAATGAACTTGATGGTTCTTAAGTATGTCCACCTTGCGGTACATGTACTGATATATTTATGCTTACGGAAATAGCCTCACTAGCCTCGAGATGGCGGCGAATGCTGCACCACCACCATCACTTCTCTATTGGACTGAGAGTCCACACAAAATATCGTCTCATCCATGCCTTGCCAGCCCCAACGAAATATCCTCCCGAGGTTTCCCAAGACGCATGAAGACCTCTCGCAGTGTAAAATCATGTTCGATTCAATTTGGCAGCTGTCTATTCGACGCACTCTACACCCAAAAAGAAACTAGGCACGACGCACAGAGAACAGTAGGCAAAAATGCATTAAGCATCAAAAAGGCTGTACTCACTGTATCCTCTCTAATCTTTGGCTGCTACATCAGCTTCTGCGTCAAACAATCATACTACTCAATATCACAAAGTCTTCAAATTGATCCGATCGCCGATTTTGATACCCCAATCTTTGAGCTATGCTTTTGGGGAGATATTTCGAGTGTCCAGTCCCAGTTCGCTCAAGGGACTGTTTCCCCTTTTGTCAGAGACCCAAATGGGAGAACCCTTCTTCATGTTGGTAGCTTTCCTCATCAAGCACTACGGATGGCTAAATGTTTAGCAGTATGCAGCACAAGGGACCAACGCGACTCTTGTGAGATTCCTCCTGGAATGTGGCCTTGATGCGAGCAAGACTGAGTTCGTCTTTGGCCGGTAAGCTCTCTCAAAAGGGTTCATGCATTTAGTTAACATTTACGAACCAGAACCCCACTACTGTGGATGAACTTTCGCACTCGACTGACAGACTCCGAGGCTTTCGTCGACACGATTAGGAGTTTAGTGATGCGGGGACAGAGTGATCTAATGGATGTGGACCGCCACGGAATCAATTTCTTAACTGGGTATTACGGAACCAGCAGTGGCCATTTGTGGCTCTTGAACCAAGAAGAGTTCGAGAATGATATCCTTCAATGCGGGAATCTAGCTATCCACGCGATTGCACATACCTTTGCAAATCCGTTTATTGACAAAATCAGCTCCCCTCCCGAAAGTTGGGGTTCATCGCTACGGAAATTGCTCCATGCTGGTGTAGCTCTATCTCCCTCGGTCCCCGAGATGGGCACACCACTTGATACTCTGCTTATGAGCATCACGTATCAAGTTGACTCCGGTCTCGTAGCACAAGCGTGGTTGTCTCTCCTGTCTTCCGTCGGTGTTGATGTCGAAATCTATGTCATGAGAGAGAGATATCTACACCCTTCTGGATTTGTACACCGGGTCTACCCAACATGGCTTCAGCGCACGCCGGATGAGGAAATTCCACGACGATTAATATTTGAAGAGATGGAAAGTCCGAGACAGCACCGAATTCGATGGGAGTGGTTTTACGGCCCCGAAAGTCCGGCCCACCTAGCATTGTCCGAGTTTTCCTCGTTTGGGGATCTATTCCACTGGTCTAGTAGGGACTTCCAACTGAACTGGCCATTTATCTACTTGGAAGTGCATAAAGACCTTGGAGGTGGACTTACCTTGGGTACAAAAGAATGCGGCAGAAATTACCTTTCCAAGATGAAGATACTGCAGGCGCGGTGGGCAAGACAGGCTGCTCGACGACACAGCCGCTCAAGAATACGGTCTTGGGTAGGAAAGCCATCAAGAACCGAGAGAAGACTTCAGGTCCCTGGTTCTTGGGTTGAAGATCACATGCCACCCTCGTCCAGCCGGCAGCAGACGTATGTTTTCAATAATTCTTGGTGGCGCTACCTTTTCATAATGGGCTTTGCATTCTTAATATCGCGAGCGGGCTTACCGTTGCGAGAAGAGAATGGTTGGATTGTTTAACAGCAAGTGTGTACGAGTCGTTTTCGTGAGTTTGTGTGCATACTTTTTAAACCACCCAGATTTATAAAGTATAGCCATTTCTTCTTCTCCTTAACAATGCCCCAGAATCACATCACCCCCTTCCAATTAACCCTTTTTATAAGCTTGTTCCCACCTTTCTAGCACAAAGGTGACCCTCTCATGAAGGTTACTGACCTCATACGGCAATACTTCATAATTCAGACCCCAATCGTCAAGACAGCTGCAAAATAACTGATGAAATCTAATCCACTCTGCCCTATCTTTTGGCATCAATCTCACACCATCATCCGTCAGCCAGTCAGCCCCCGCCTCACATACAACAACCACCGAGTTTCTCATCCTATCCCGTAGCTCCAACCACCCAGCTGACCGAATCAGGTCACTTGCCGCGTCTTCATTAACGTACTTTCGAGCATAAACAATAGGATCTGCTCCTGAACGATCAGAGATAAACCAATCATTTTGTGCTGATATATCACGCTCAGTAGCAACTTGAGCTTGTAAAATGAGTTGCTGTAAGGCCAAAGAGCGAGCAGGCGAGGACGTGATATCGTCAGCAGTGAAGTTGTGTTGTTTCAGAACAGTCCTTGCGACTTCCGTAATGGTTTTGGGACGAGAAAATGGATATCCGCCGAAATCCTCGGTGTTTTTGAAGTGGTCTTGGAGAGCTTTGATCAGGGTAGTCTTGCCCGTGCACTGCGCCCCAACGATGTAGATATTCCGAGGCTTGCTGTGCGGAGTCATCTTTTTTGCTTTCAGTAACGCATTAACTGCATCTACGTAGCATGCTGGTATTTTCAGGAATGGAAGGCAAGCTCGACGGAATAGAGGTTTACCCGATACTAGAAAAAGCAGGAAAGGATGGCCCACTCGCTGACGATGCAGTGTAACCTTGAGTCACGTGCATGACAGGATCTTCACAGATATCACCGCCGTCCCCCGTCCTCTATCCTCTCTTTATCATCACACATCGCCATGTCGCAAACCAATATTAGAGCATTCCGACATGTGCTGCAGAATCCCATCCAGCTTGAGGACCGCGATTGGTCCTACCTTGTTCCAAACCTCCCTCGCCCATCTACTATCAATCCCCAACAGTTGATTAAATCCGTCGCTGTAGTATCGAACGCTATCAAGCAGCAAATCGAGCTCAGACTGCAGGCAACCTCCCTAAATCGAGCTATCTCTGCAGATCCTCTTGATCGCTTCGTTATCGTCTCATTTGCAGACTTTCGTCTGCGAGTCCCGAATCAGACAGCAACCGATGGCAGGAACAATTCCGACACGCAGCCAGCAGCTGCTCGAGAGTCTGCGGACTACATTGTCAAGCTCCTTCGATCTGGAATCACGCTGAACGATGTCCACTACAACTTTTATGGCCATAGCAATAGCCAGTTGAAATCCAGAACATGCTTCCTATATGCTACACCGAAGTCCGAAATTTCACGAAAGGTCGAGAGCCTTGGTGATTTCGCCAAGATGAAGACAGTGGCAAAGAAGGCCAAACGAATTGGGCTTCTATTTTCTGTCGCTCAGATGGCCGCCGTTATAGACCCTAATCGCTGTCAAGACATCCCCGATATTGAGACAAACGACTACATCTTCACCGACGGCTGCGGCTTAATCTCCCCCCATCTTGCCTGCGAGCTTGCTCGAAAGGTGAAGATCGCATTCAGAAATATTCGTTACACACCTTCTGTGTTCCAAATTAGATATCGAGGGTACAAAGGAGTAGTTATGCTTGATCCGACAATGAAAGGCGAAACTCTGGTAAAGTTTAGGAAGTCAATGAAGAAGTTTAGCGGAGGGAGTGATTGCTCCTTCTCCATCGTTGACTACTCGAAGGTAATTTTACAGAATTATTCTGACTCCTCCCCCACGCCCCTTCTTTACTGTCAAAATTGCGGTTTATGATTTGACTTGCCACCCTTGGTCTAGCCGTACGGATTTGGTCACTTGAACGATGAGGTAGTCCTCCTTCTACATGCTCTTGGAATCAAAGAAAGCGTTCTTCTCCATAAACAAGCAGAGCATTTGCAATTCCTTGCCAGTGCTGCTCACGATTCCCGTAATGGTTTCCGTTTCCTGACCTATATGAACAATCTTCCTCTTGCAGAGAAGGTATTGATGGATTCGATCGAGTCAGTCCAGCCCACCATAACCAAACTCGTCAATGCAGAGTATGACAAGATGCTCAATAAGAGGGATGAGCAAAGATGCCGGATCTTGATTCCTAAGTCGAGATTGCTCTTCGGGATTTGTGATGCTTGGGGAGTCCTGAAGGAGGGCGAGTGCGCCCTCAAAATTACGATGGATGGTGATGGACAGCCCCGAGCCCTACATGGCAGTGAGGTATTGGTCACGAGAAACCCATGCCTACACCCGGGAGATCTGCAAAAGTTCAAGGTTGTGGCGAGAGATGAGCTGGCGCATCTTGTTGACTGCATTGTTTTCCCAACCCAAGGGAAGAGGCCTGCCGCCGACTTGATGTCGGGCGGCGATTTAGATGGTGATACCTGTAAGTTTCTGTTATGACATCATCTTCTTGGACTTTGAAGTCATTAACATTCGTATTGATAGTTTTCGTTTGTTGGGATATCGATTTGATACCAGACAAGCTCTCACAACCGGCAGAATATCCTGGCGCCAAAGAACCGGTCATGTTTAATCCAATAACCGACGACGATCGACTGGTGTTCTTTGCCAGATATACAAATGCCTCGCTGGGCCGAGTTAAGAACCTCTTCCTAGACTGGGCAAGGTTGAAAGGCCCCATGAGTAAGGAGTGCCAGCAGCTCAACCGCCTGTTTTCCATGTGCGTGGATGGCAATCGTATCAAGGTTCCGGTCCAACTAGAAAGTCCTGATCAGCCTCCTTCAGATGTTCCTCCATTTATTCTCGATACACTACATGAGGCCGCAAAAGCTTTCATTCAGGCTCGTCAAGACAGCATTCTCAGCTACGATGGATACAACTTCGATGCAATGGAGCTCCTACTAAGTCGTGACGACATGGCTATGTCTGAGTTTGAGCTGATCAAGTTGACATATCGATGGTGTCAGATGAACAATTTTGCCCTCATGGATTTTGTGCATCTTTTCAACGTTAATCTGCTAACTGCTGAAGAGAAGATCTGGACGTTGACCCAACTGCTACCATCAGCTGAAGCTCCCAGCCTTATCCTCAATGCTCTCTGTCAGTCCAACCTCATCCAAGATGCCGAATTGCGCCCATTTAAGCTCGGTTATCCTGGCCTGAGATGGAAATGCATTTACGATTCCACTCGAGATCGGTTGGCCGTTTTCCTCGACACAGTTGCGAGGACACTTGAACTGTTCCACCGCAAGCTTATCGTTGTTCGTGTGGATGAACGCCTGACCTTGGCAATCTATGTGCCACAAAAGATTAATCGAGGCCAAGAGTCTCAGGTTGATGACCGGGTCCGTCTCTTTGCTTTTCCACACTCTCGAGGGGATGAGACGACGCACCGGTTCGCCGTCCCGACTAAGATGGATTATCGTCTGTACTGCGACGGCAATGTCTTTCAATTATTTGAAAAAGCGCGGCAAAATTCGTGGGTATATATCGTCAAAGGCGGCTCGGATGACAGTGGCTATCGAAGTCAGGAGACTACAGGTGGCTGGAGAAGAGGGCGACAGGCCACAATCGACAGCGGGCTGAATTTTGACTGCAGGGCTAGCATTGCTCTGGATAAATTCAGCAAAGTCCTGCAGAAACATATCGGGCGAGTCAATAGGAACGGGATTCTGGGTGCTGTAAGCAATTATGGAAGCTGATGAGGTGGTCGCTCGCTTGCTGACACAACTTTTAGGAAATCTACATCATCAGCAACAGAGACGTCAGATCGATGCAGAACTTAGATCTCTGGCTTCAATACATTGACACAAATGAGGTAATACCCCTGTTTGAGAGAAATGCAAGAGAATACAGCGTCCCGAAGCTGAGCGAAGTGAATTGGTCCGAAGAGCCTGAATATCTTGTCCAGATCGCGAAAGAGAAGAATTTTTCTACATTTGAAGCCATGAAGTCTGAAGAGCAATATCGCCATGTCTTTAGCTGGCTTTTGGAAAGGGGCGAAAGGGGCATACTTTTGCAATGCTTCAAACACCTCCTGCCGCAGAGCGGTGAAAGCGTGTCCGATTCTACCGGCAGCCCGATCGTTGTGCAGCGGATGCTAGACTTCCTCAGAGATGCGCCCTTTTTGTCAGTGGCCTTTGCCAGGGTCGGTCACTGGGCCACGCTGCCTCGAGACGTATGTGATCTGCTGGAGAGAGGAGGATCAAGCATTCTGCAAGCTCACATCCTCTCCGCGAACGAGATGCAAGAATTCGTGGTGGAACCCTTCAAAAGAGTGATGTCTCAGATCCAAAACATGTCCATGACTGACTTTGCTCGTTTGGTTGAGCTCATATCTCTGGTGGTTCGCTCTGTAGACATAGCTCTTGACCTCCTTCTGGAATGCCTCGAGCCGGAGAGTGGTCGGGTTCTTCCTGGAGACCCAAAACTGGTACAACATTTCGTCAGGAGTATTCTAGGAATAGCTCTGGATCACATTGATGAGGCAGCGCAACCCCAAGTCCCAAAAAAAGATCTGCTAGAGTTGAAGTTTAGTCATGGTAACTCGGAGGGTTTCGCAGTAGTTGAGAGCCGACTTAGGATTGATGCACCAATGGGAACGCTGGCGACTGCGGATCATGTGCGTTTGACAACAGCAACCCCTCCAACCAACTCTGTTACAGCACGGATATGCTCAATAGATGGATTGGTCGAGTCATCTCAGCCAGGCTTGGTAAAATTCCGCTGCTTTCATCCCATACCACCCTATGTTGAGAAGTGTTCCTGGGAACTTCAAAACTGTGGCTCCTTCGTGACTTCAAAGACCATGTTCGACGCGGTTCACACCCTTGCCACGCAGCAAGATTCCTGCCGCATCTCGGACCAGATCTTTGGAATGCAAGACGGCATTTCGAGTGGATCTATTTCCTGGCCAACAAGGCATGTTAGCATTGGAAGCCTCAATTCCAGCCAGAATGCAGCCGTTGCAGCATCTCTTTCATATCCATTGACTTGTTTGTGGGGTCCACCTGGTACTGGCAAGACGTACACGATTGTGGAGATCATCAAACAACTTCAAGCATCTCCTGCAAATGGGCGAATCCTTGTAACGGCGCCAACTCACAACGCTGTGGATAACGTCATGAGGAAGTACTTGGCAAACGTAATATCAGGAGGCATGCTCGGCACTGCGGAACCGATCGCCCTTCGTGTCTCGACCGATGTGAGTTCTAATCTTATCCCACCGCATATACCGTTCTAATATGCATTCAGGTTCGAAAAGTCGCGGAAGATTTAAAGAGGTATACCTGCGACGCAATGGCTGGCATGGAGATTTATGCTACTCATTCTGCTATGAACAAAGCCCGGGACCAGATCAAGAAGTGCCGTCTCATCTTTACAACCTGCGTTGGAGCTGGTCTTGGACTTCTCCGCTCAGAACCCTTCGACACCGTTATCATCGACGAAGCCTCCCAGCAAACCGAACCTGCATCTCTTGTTCCTCTCGTCAAGGGCTGTAAGAAAGCAATCCTAGTCGGTGACCATGTCCAGCTTGGTGCCACCGTCCAACAACATGCTGTCCTTCAGCAATATGATATTTCTCTCTTTGAAAGGCTGTACAGGCAGCAACAGTCACGCGTGATTCATCCCGAAAAGGTCTCCTCACCCGAACCCACTCTCCAAAAAGTCATGTTAGATACCCAGTACCGCATGCACGAGTCTATTTGCAGGTTCAGTTCAGATGAGTTTTATGAAAGCAAGCTCCGTACTGGCATTCCTATCACTCGCCGGCAGCTTCCTGTATCCAAGTTCCCTTGGCCATCTATCATGAACTTAGGAAAGGCGAAAAAGACTACCTGCGGTGAGAACCAGGCAAGGATGGTGTTTGTGGAATGCTCGACAACGGAGGACTTCGGACGCAAATCCAAAACCAACGAAGGGCAGGCTAATCTCTGCCATGAAGTTTGCAGACTGCTCACAACAGACAACGCACTTACTGCCACTGAATCACAGCCGCGAGCAACAGCAACACTGGAACAGCAACTCATTGCTGTATTGACACCTTATAGCCGTCAAGTGGAGCTGTTGGAATCGAAACTCTCACACTTTGCTAACGTAGAAGTCTCGAGCATTGATGGCTTTCAGGGCCGTGAAGCAGACATCGTTGTCTTTGTAACTGTTCGATGTAATGTCCACTACGAGATTGGTTTTCTGAAGGATCTCCGAAGGATGAATGTTGCGTTGACGCGGGCTAAGGCTGGGGTGATCCTTCTTGGAAATCGGGCAACACTTACGATGGGAACTGCGGACCCCGAGAGCACGGAGGTTTGGAGAAGACTGTTGGCTACGCTTGTGGAAATTAAGATTGAAGCTACGAAATAGAGAAAATGTGGTGGTTTGACAAGCAAAATTTTTCCTTCTCTATGCTCTTAATATAGGAAGCCTCGTCTCGGTTCGGAAATCCCGCCACTCCTCTTAGAGTTCCCTTCAACACTTCATTCCGGTACAATATACCCCCCATTTTCGGCCATGCACGCGGCTGCGTTTGGGAATGCTTAAATTCACTCGAAGTCATTTCATTTTTGGATAGTTAATAAGCAAATAATGTCGACAAAGCACGATGCGCATTTTTATTCTCGGCGGCACGAACTTCGTGGGTTGGGCTGCAGCTATGGAAGCCATCGCCCGAGGCCACGAAGTAACGAGGTAACCACTTTCAATCGTACCACCAGACAACACTGGAAGGGGCCAAGGCTATTGTTAGCGACCGTCTCGCTTCTGACGGTTATAAAAGGTTAGACGGCTTGACGTTCGACAGCGCCCTTGATACGTGGAGTGCCGACCAGGTTGCAGTTCGAACTGCCGTTCCGGCACTGGATATCCCACTACATGTACATCTCTTCTATCCATGTCTATTATGGAAGTCAAGTGCAACCCACGCTAACTGAAGAGCCGCCTGTCGTCGACCCTACCGCGGCTAACAACCAATAAGGGCAGACAAAGGTGGAAGGGAGCTGGAAGCAGAAAGTTCCAAAGTCCCAATTCTGCTTACTCGTCCGGGACTTATTATTGACCCATACGAAGGAATCGTTGGCCGTCTCCCTTGGTGGTTGGGACGGCGGGGGAAAGACTCTCGCTCCTGGCCCAAAGGACAATGGACTACAATACATTGATGCACGGGACCTCGCTGCGGTCATCGTTGACGGAGCTGAAGAGCACTTAGGAGGGGTATACAACATTGTAGGCAAGCCTCATGCACAACTACTTTGAGCTGCTAGAAACCGCAAACATCCTTGGGGGCGGGAATCCTGAACTGGTATGGTAGGAACCGAAAGGTATTCTTGACGCTAGCATCGAGCCGTAGACTGAGCTACCTTACTAGCTTCCTCCGGTTCCAGAGCATGGTTTGATTTTTGGCTACGATGTCGAGAAAGCTTTTGCTGGGGACTTCATACCAGGCCGGTGAAGGAGACAGTTGCAGACACTTGGTTATGGCTTCAGAGCCAAAACGAACAGCCCCCTACTCATGGAAAAATGGCCTTAATCCCGAAAGGAGACAGAGTTGCTATCTTAGTTTGCCTGTGGTGACTTACCACATGGCCCTGGAGAGTATTGTAAAGGTGGCTAGCGGATATGAGAGTAGGCGTGCAGAGAGGTTAACGTCATCAATGCTATGGTGTGCTTCAATATGGCCCAATTCTGCTCCACATCTGGTTGCACTTTTGTATCCACTATCGACCATGTCAGAGTGTATTGCTAGCAGTTGTTCAACCTCCGGTGCCAACCCCTGTGTGTGATGGTGGGAAGTCCTTGTTTTGCAAATCACTGCGCTACTATCGTATTCGCTTCCAGCCACCGGGATCCCAATGTTTAAACTCATCTCCCGTATTCCGGACTTCGTTCAGGCCGGCTCATGCTTCGCTGATATGCTCACTCCGCTCGTTGTATCCGGATATCCACCGAATATCCGAGCCGATAAGCGAGTGCTTCAATCCATGAGGCTGGACTTCTTGTAGGCTTAGATCTAGTGAAGGAGTTATTAATTGAGATGGATGTAGATCGGATGGTAAGTAGCGTATATGCGTTCCTTCACGTGTATTCGTCCCGGAGGCTCGCGTGGGATGAGAGCCGGCCGCAGTATTCTCCCGCCCCCCTAATTATCCAATGCTGTCGAAGGGAGAGTATAAGTTGCAGCATGTTTGTCCACAATAAGTATTGCAAGATTCATCGACCCTACTACCCTCTCTCAAACCAACATGTCTGATCAAATCAACCTCTCCAAGCCCCACCGTGCCATTCGGGCTGGTGTCATACTTGTTAATGCGTAAGTCTCGGCTCTGTCTATCACTTAAACAAATTTGCCACTAATTCAAATGGAAGGGAGACTGAAATTCTGGATGTAGCGCCAATTGATGTTTTCAACGCCATTTCTACGAAATTTGTGCACAATTTCCCAGAAACCGTGTTGCCTGATAACCTCCGAGCTCAAGCTCTCGACATTGAATTTCATTGGGTCAATGAAACGGGGGAACCAGCACACCTAACGGCTGGCGGACTTATCAACGTAACGGCAAGGGTTCCTATTCTATTTGCAGATTTTAGAATGGAAAACTAATCTAATGACAACAGGACAGCTTCGCTACCTGCCCATCTTTGGACATAGTCCTCATGGGCGCACATGACTCCAAGTACACCCTCAACGAGGCAGAGCTTGATTTCATTAGAAAAAGCTTCAATGAATGTGAGGCCTTCATCACCATTTGCGGAGGATTCTTGTCAGCCATGCAAGCAGGTTTGCTTGAAGGGAGAACTGCCACTGGACCACGACCATTCTTGGAAGGTCTCCGCCAGGCTGCTCCTGGAGTCAAATGGGTCGAGAAGCGCTGGGCTAGGGACGGAAAATTATGGACAAGTGGTGCTTTGTTGAACGGATTGGATCTCACACGCGCGATTGTCACAGAGTATTGGGGTGGTAAAGACACGCTGGCGGAGTTTGCTTTGGCGCTTGGTGCCTATCCGGTCAGAGACATCAATTACGCAGATGTGGAAGGTAATTTGTAGATGCTGGATGCTATTCCACTTGTGCTATGAGCAAGGTAGACCTCGTACCGCTTCGAAAGAATTGCAAGATTGAAATTGAAAATGGTCCGGTTCGGAATTCTGTGAGATTCGCTGCCATACCACGGAAATGTTGAGTTCTCGAAACCCAGGCTCATATGGCATGCGCTACATTTGCTCAAGGAGCTGAACTATTCCAGTGTGCTGAGACTTTTTAACTCCGCCACAGGTTGCTAGATGTGATGTGACAAAGGCCAATCGTGTGGAAGGTTCGGGATGTGGTGTCTTCTTTGATCTTACGATCTTACTTATCATACACCATACGAAGCAATTTGGGACGGCCCGTCGCCGCAGGAATTATCGCCGAAACTGTGGTTTTAGACTCACTCTTCTTGCCCCTCGATTTTCCAGCGCCTGATAGGCATTTCAAGATAAAATTACGCTGAATCAGCCAGCCCGGGCTCAGACATAGTGTACCGAAAGCACTTCCAACAAATCGGGGATTGAATAATCCGTACTGAGCATGTCCGAGAAGACGGCATATAGAGCTGAACATGCGGCTGGCTATGTGGTGGAGATACGGCCGTGAGCAACATAACGTTCGCCTCCTCGCCTATCCCCATCGGGAAGATTTCGCGAACAAGTGCTGACAACATGTGACTTGTATGCTGCCCCCTTTTCCTTCTCTCACTAATTTCTGCCCAAACCGGAAATTTTCACGAATACGACACCTTTCTACTTCTTGGCTGTCGCTTTAAGGAAGTTGCTGACTGTTCGGAGCAACTGTGAGGTAATTTCCGACTCAAAACCGGGGGGGCGGACCATATCAAAGAAATATATTGCAACTGATTTAATATAATACTCAAGAGAATTTCCATATCTTTCATTAGTTTTGCTAGATGTTTCCATCTGAATTCTTGCCCCCCCCAGGTTTCTAAAAACTGCTCAGCGCAATGGCTTTTATTTCTTCTATTATTAGTTCAACTGTCCTTATTGCCAATCTTTCGCAGATTTTGACAAATGGTAAGCAAATCTAATAGACGACAACTTTAAGGTCGACTAACGTACATCTTCTCCGAACAGGGCCATCTCTGCTAGGCACTTTAGATGCTCCTACGCTCCCACAATTTCTGACAAACAATGTACTTATATTTTCCTTTTTAGAATGAAAACGGACTCATCAGATCTAGCCATTACCTCATGATTACCCTTGGGGTCGAGCAACTGCTGGAGGATCCAGCCCATGGGGAGACACCCCCAACACGGGGGTCATTAGATCTTATGATTGGGAAATATCTCGCGGCTACCTTTCACCTGATGGGGTCAACAGAAGCATGATGCTTATCAACGGACAATACCCTGGGCCGATGATTGAAGCAAATTGGGGAGACACTATCCAAGTATGGTAAATCTGCTTTAGATTATAAACATTTCTTAACCTCTTCCAAAGGTGACAGTACACAATAACCTATTGTACCGGGAAGAAGGCACTTCTCTCCACTGGCACGGTTTGCTTCAAAAAGAGACACCTTGGTTCGATGGCGTACCTTCCGGTCAGTTGAACTTCAGGACTCACATGCACGTATCAATTAATAATTTCAACAGTCTCCCAGTGCCCTATAGCACCGAATAGAACTTTCACCTATTCCTTCAAGGCTGATGTCTACGGAACAAGCTGGTATCATTCGCATTACAGTGCTCAATATGCTGATGGGTTATTGGGTCCAATGGTTATATACGGACCAGCACATGCTAAGTACGACTATGACCTAGGTCCCGTTATTCTTGTGAGTTGAAGCTTCGGAGGACAATGCCGTACTAATTCTCAAAGAGCGACCACTTCCACACCACATACTACGAAATTGTCCAAAATATCACTGGTCAATCGACGGTCACGCCGTCAGATAACAATCTCATCAACGGAAAGATGAACTTTGATTGTTCTCTCGCTCTCAATGGTGCAACTTGCTTTCCTAATGCCGGTCTTTCGAAGTTCAAGTTCACATCAGGAAAGACTTACCGCCTGAGACTGATCAACGCAGGAGCCGAAGGTCTCCAAAAGTTCACCATTGACAATCACACCCTGACAATTATTGCCAACGACTTTGTCCCAATCCGTCCGTATGACACCAACGTTGTTACTCTTGGAGTTGGACAGCGCTCGGATATCCTGGTCAAAGCAATCGGCAATCCCAGCGATTCCTTTTGGATGCGGTCTGAGATCAGCACGAACTGCAGCCATACCAACCAGCCTACCGCGCTTGCTGCGATCTACTATGAGGATGCAGATACTTCCTTGACGCCCCAGTCTACGAGAACATCATATGAAATCAAGAATTGCACCAATGATGCAATCACTCTCACCGAGCCCCTGTTCCGCCAGAGTCCTCCCAAAGAACCAGCTTTTACCCAGGACATCGACATATCATTCGGAACAAATGCGACGGGTGCTATGGTATGGATGATGAATAATCAGTCTTTCCGGGCAAATTACGAGTCAGTCAAAGTTTCCTTTGAAGTAATGAGTCCCCAAAGTTGACAAATCTTCTTAGCCATCCTCTGCTTCTTCTTGCCAAACAAGGGAATACCTCTTATCCAGATGATCCCCAATGGAACGTGTACGACTTCAAAGAAAACAAGTCCATCCGCCTAGTCGTTCGCACCATCGACCCTCTCTCTCACCCGATGCATCTTCACGGCCATAACTTTTGGGTGGTGGCCCAAGGCACAGGTAAATGGGATGGAACTGTAACGCGGCATGAGAATCCACAGAGACGGGATACTCAGCTCCTTGATGTGGGAAATCCATATGATCCCGCTGGCGGGGCGAGTTATATTGTCCTAGAGTTTGTTGCTGATAATCCCGGAGTCTGGCCTTTCCATTGCCATGTTGCTTGGCATGTTAGCGATGGGTTGTACATCAACATAATTGTTCGTTATTCCAAGAGTATATCAAGTGTCGTAACGAGCTAATCAGTCGTAGGAACGCCCTCAAGATATCACTCATCGACAGATTCCCTCGACCATGGCTCAAACTTGCCGCGATTGGGCAGACTACAGTGGACATAATGTCGTGGACCAGATCGACTCCGGAGAATAAACATGCTGCGCTATCGAGGCTGAAGCTGATACATGAAGACAGCTGAGGCGGAGTTGGGAAGCTAGGATAAATTCACATTCCCTGTCACTTCCTGTTCCGTGCTGGAGGATTCGTGCAATGTATAATACAAATTATACCAAGCAATATTTACTCCCGGCATCAACATCCCCTTAGATTTTTGTTGGAATGCGGTGGCTGGAAGCCTTGATTCACTGCTTATCGATGGCTGGGAAGCCCCTTAATAAGTACAAAATCCACTAGTCTCTCACTAGTCTCCTAGCCCTCTAGTTGCCTTACCTTAGGCCCGTAAGCTTGGCAACTTTCAACAAATTTCGCGTAACTTCACATATCCAACACTCAAGCCAAATCCTTCATTCCCCCCTTTCCTTCTTTCTCTCGGTGATCCACTGCCTGTTAGCTTTATTCATGCACTCTACAAATTCTCTCACAGCCCAAAAATCAACACCTCCAAGTTCTTCACCAAATACTTTCCCAAGTCCTCCGCAACAGTGATAATCATGTTCGTGTCCGCCTCCTTGAAGAAGGTGCATCTAGCTCTGATGTGATCAACAAATACTTTCAATCGTTTCTCGATTCCTACGCACCAAATAATAGTACTGATGTGACACCACTTGATCATAGTCTCTCGGCTATCTCTCTGGGCTCCGATTCCAATTTTCTGGCCTCGAGAGTGAGCAAAAGAAAGGTCACGTCGCAGGCGGCAGGCCAGAAGGTACCGCATCAACCAAGTCGGAGCAACGGAGAAGGCTTATTGTCCACAGGCCGTTATCGGAGACACCAAAGCTGTAGCCAAAATGAACAGAAAGAGGAATGATATCCTATCAGACCATGCAAGATCAGATCCCGACTCGTTGGAACAAGGCTGCCAAAGCAAGTATTACGCCCCAGTCAACCAAGAATCCTCCACGCAACCGAAGCTTCTGGTTGTTCTCTGTTCAGGTGAAGTATTTACATAAACCATAACCTTCTCGCAATTCTTCATCAAAGCTCATCAAAGGAGCACTCAAAGCCAGGCATGCTCGCGAAAAACACGAAAAGTTCGAATCGATCTCTATCCTCTGCGGGTATGGAAGCGGATTAGCTCGTGTAACTTCATCCTAGTACTAGAAGGCTCAAGGCCCGCCTACTTTTTGATCATCTGATCTGTTGCCATCCTGTCGGTTGCTGTCAAGCTGATTTCTGTTGTCATTTCAGACGTCTCTTGGTCGACGAAGTGCCGCTGTGGACGTCACGGGATTCGGCCAGGGATGACTTGTATCAGGCTGCTAGTCCTGGCATCTCGGACTCGCACAGCCGCTGCGTTACTGGTAGAAGTTCATGATTTTTTCGAATCCCTATTTGGGTAGTCTTGTGGGACCAAACTTTGAAGGCCTTTTCATAGATACTCGATAGCAGTGGGAAGGGTCTAAGGTTCTCTTCAATACTAATGAGCGGCAATGCCACTTCTATATCTATAAGAAAGCTGGCATGAATAAGTCAACAATAATGTAACGTATAGGGTCTCGACTTGCAGCTTTTAGCGTCTTGACGGTCGGAGGAAAGAATGACCTAAACTGGCGGGGAAGTGATCTTCGTCCCTTACTCACTAGCCTCCGTAAGCCCGCAAACTTTATCTACCGCTCCGTACGAAGGGCACTTTGCATAAAGAGTGCCATAATTCCACAGACAAGTCTATCTCACCTTTCGTATCAAATTTTATTCTGGTATATCAGACGAAGCTGTTCCGTACTCTCCTCATTGTAGATTGCCAACAAATCCTTCCAACCATTTAGTCAAGATAAACTACATCGGCGGCCACCCCCTCAACCTCGCCAGCAAAGATTTTGAAATTTTCAGCAATATAATTAGAACATAGCTAACGGGGAGTGCAGTTGCCATCCTCGCCTTAGCCGCGCCACTAATAGGAGCAGCGATATTTCGCGAGCTGCTGAGCAGCAATGCTAACGTCCTCGGTGTGGATAACATCCCCGCGCATAAGACTACAAGGTTTAGCAATGGTTCACACTTTCAGTTCTTCCATTACGGTAAAGGTTCATCTCCATCAAGGGAGGAGGTGATTGAGTATGCGAAAGGAGCTTGCTTGAGAGACGACATTGGTTTCCTCATTGACGTTCTTGGAGAGACGGACATTGGCAAGGGACTCATGAGAGAGGTGGTAAGTGTCATGCAGATGCTCAGAGTGAAGTTATAAAAGCCCTGGCCGGGCAATTCAAATAGAAGGGCGTGGGTGCAATATAGTGATCTCAAACAGTATTCAGCTTTCACGTCGAGACTCCCACCTGTCTAACGAACTCCACATATAATTACTACAGCACTAGAGATGACGTTGTTGATTTCGAGAAAAAAACGCTTCTGAAATATCATATATCAGCATAGCCCAACACAGGTAGTCTCCCTCTTTCGTTCGGGTGTTTGCTGGGAGTATCCACGACTGACTAATATATTCAGGGATAACGGACGCTTTGCCATTGGGAAAGAGCGAGATGTTGCGAATTTGGTCTTGTTTCTGTGTAGCAAGCAAGAGAAGGCATTTATGGTGTCGTGAAGGGAACAGATGGGAATGACGTGGATCCCTGATATTTCCCAGCTTCTCTCAACCCTTGTTTTCCTATCCCGCCATCAAAATGTCTTCCATCACTTGAACATGCTTCTTTTATCGGGTGTGTTCCTTCGTTCATTCGATTGGCCGAGGACAAGGTTTGGACGAGAGAGGAGATGCAAATCGCCTTTTGTCTCTTTGCTGCGTGTTTCGTGGATGGCCATTCCCGAGGAAAAGGCCTTATTCAACTTATGTCTTCCCATTGCAGCAAATCCCTGTGTCGCCCTCTCGGTCCCTGCGATTCTGTTTTGACTCTGCGTTACTTTGCAATATTGTTTTGACGGTCGCGGCTTAGGGTTGTGGTGCTGTACAATTATCCCAATTCAACGAATCAGTCCCTCAGACTCCCGTCGATGGAAACAAAACGTGACTTACTTAGCTTTAGTATCTCTATTGGATTCCAGGGACTGCAGTGCTGCTACGAAATGGTGTTAAAGAATGCGCTCCGACAGAAGATGCTGTAGGGATCAAGGTGCTCACCTCCCTGGTCCGGTGCTTGGTCTGATATTGGCCGAGAATCGCACAACAATTGTCTCTAAATAGATCAAACTTTGCTCTGTATTGTCTGTAATTCCCGTAGACTTTCTTGGCGGCATCAAGTTGTGGAATGGACGCTGTCGAGATATTCGCCCGATAGAGTGTGGAGAAAACGGTGCGAATGGCGTCGTTGAAGGATGGAGTCCAAAATTGGTGCAAGGCACGTGCTTGCAATTTTGCGGTGGGTTTAATAATATTAAATAAGGATTTTTCGTGCAGATCACCAACAAGCGAACTCCCAGACGTAAGTTTGGTTCCGACGACGAGGGCCCTCGGCTATTGTCTGAAGATACAAGTTCGTGGGGTGGTCCCTCTTTTTGAATTTCGTTTTTCCGTACCTCAAAGTCTATTCTCCACGTCTCAAGGATACTTCAGCCATTGCCGTCGGCCTCGGATTTTTCTTTCTCTCTTTTGCATCTTTTTTTGATTCTGTTGATGTTGATAGTCTAGGGGTTTACAACTTCGGCTAATTGTTTTTATGCCTCGCTTAGCGAAGCTACCCCTTTCCTCTCATAAACAACAACACACTGTTCAAATTCCACCTTAATTGAGCTTCAGTCCAACTATACGCGGAGTGTAGGGAATTTTAATGTTATTACAAAAGGTTGGACCCCTATGCACTTCCAGGATACCTCGAAACAGAGCTTCCTCGTGTAACATGCGAAATTTATTATATGATAACAGTTGTCAAGAAGAAAGAATAAAACTATCATAGAGGACCAACCGTTTCCTTAATTGCATCCGCTCTGAATATCTAACCCTACCTACAAGTAGCCAGCTGCTACAGCAAGGCCTAGGTATCAACTTCGAGAGAGAGAAACGTGGGTCTGTGCTGTGATCTGGGCTGTGCATCACAGCTTAGAAATTGAGAAGACCAAAATTCCGATATAGCAATCAGAAAGTGTAAATATGGCTCGAACATAGCACGGATAAAAGTCCTGTCAATGTTTCAAACACTTGCGGGAATATTTAGTAGAGCATCCAAGCCATCTCGACAGTATTCGGTATTTTCCCCTTTGGGAATTTGGTATAAAGTGAATTAATATTGGTTTGCCGGACTTTAGTCCAAAATTTCCGGCGCGGTGACTCTACTTCACGAAATTGGAATCTCAAAAAAGGAAACGCGACCAACCACTACCATCACCACAACATCGCCCGACCCCTCACCTCGCAACCTCCTCCGTCGGAGTCTCCGTCCTTGTCTCATTGTACCTCTACTCGTTAGAACTTTCCACAGCTACTATTATCCCAAGATGGCCGACTCTATGTCCCATGTCTTCGAGAAGATCAGCAACTTCTGCCTCCACCTCGATATGCCATACCCAGGCTTCGAAGAATTCGAGGTCACTTCTGCTCATCCTATCGTAAAGACAAGATACGAAAGCGGAATCCGATATGGCAGCAGAGTAAAGCAGATGCAGGAGTGGTGGGATATCAGCTACATCACCACTGGCGCTCGGGAGTATAAGACGAAGAAGGAGGCTCGTCATGCTCTCGCATCCACTGTGTTAGAGGAAGTTCTTGTAGGTGATCTCGAGAATAAAATGGCTCTCCCCTAAAACTAATTGACTGTCGCAGAAGATGGAGACCGACGAGAAGGCAATGGACCTCTTCCGTGGTTCCCGCAAGCAGGCTGTAGGTGTCTAGACTAATTCGAATCGCATAGAAGAATATTCTTTAACTAACTTGGAAACAAAGCTATACTCTCTTCTCCCCCATGAAATTGGCTTCATTGAGGTTGGTTACCATCTATTCTCTACTCTGAGCCTCGCTGATTTGACCGTGACATAGAACCCTTCAATGCTCTCCGAAACCGAACACATCAACGATGGAGGTCTAGCATTCGCTACGCTCAAGATGCGCTTTCTTCAAATCCCTTTCGAGATATTCGCTCGCCTCTACGCAAAGTATTTGGCAAAAGTTCTGGACAGGATGATGCGCATCGGAAACGTCTCCATCGACCAAGGAGTTCTCTTCAAGAGAGGTCTTACCATGGGCATTCTAGAGGCACTCCTCCCACGCAAGACAGCAGAGCCTGTCGACCCCAACAATGATCCATACCCATGTTTCAAGCTCGAGTTGCAGGAAATTGAGATGAAGGAGATCGCGGCGTTTGCAGAGGCGGCATTAAACTTTGTGTTTGCATGGCAGCAAGATTTGTCAGCTGAGAACCGTGATGTTAGGAAGCTTGCAAGGATGTTGGGGCAGGAGGCTGGCAAGCAACTGAAGGATGTGGAAGTTGATGTTGCTATGACGTTTAACATTAAGCTGAGAAGTGAGTTGGAGAAATTTCTGGGGCAGAGGAAGAAGAGAGAGGAGGATGTGGAGATGGGAGGTATGGAGTAGAGGAGCTATCATCTGAGCGTGCACGAAGTGCTGTACAATTTCTATCTTCTACTCTACCGCAGGCAGCGCAATTAGTGCGTTAATGAACGTCACACACTTTCAAATCTTACTTTAGACTTACTCACCCTCACCCCTCCCCGATCTTGCACCTTCAACATCCCAAGTGAAGCTGACACATCAAATACTTCCCTTTTCAATGTTCCCTTAGTATTTTGGTACTTTCCAAGTCTCCTCTAATCCAATGTGTCGAAAGTCCTCGGACATATAAATTTGTCTCCCTCACCCCAATTCCAGGGTAACGTCCAGCTTCGACTTGGGGCATTGAAAAGCACCGCTTTAGCTGTCCACCGTCTAAAAATCGCGATTTTATTGCCTCTAGCTGAGAGCAATCCTAGACCGTAATATTCGCCACCTAAATCAAGTTTGAGAACGAAAACACAGTCGATTGGCCGTTCGCAGCTAAGATAATCAAACTTGACACACTGGCTACAGTGAGAATTGGCACTAGTTAGATGAGGGTTATTGTTTATTCCCACACATGCAGTGGCACCTGCTGCAAAGCCATCCAGAGAGTTGAGAAAAATATTCGAGATTGAAATCTGGGAGGCCTTGATTGCCCCGTGGGGAAAGGTTGCCATGCCTAAGCTTGGCAGACCTGAATCAGTAATCACACAATCTTCCTCAGACTTTCGAGGACATCGAATTGCAATGCGGAGAGGATTTTCAAGCTGTCGAGTGTGAAGGTCCCCGCGATCGTGCCAATGGTGGAGGACGAAAAACTGGTCAAGGCCGTCGCATTTGCAACAATTAAATTGCTTGCAATCACCGAAGAGCCACCAATGCTGATTCAACCTGCTGCTGCTAATCCTACAATGACCGAGCCTGTTGTAGTCGAACAACTTGTGTATTGTGCCCCGTCCGCTGGGGTATATATCGTGGCGTTGCTTGAGTTCATATAGAAGCTGCCTGAGCTAATAGAGAAACAAGAGGTTAGCTCTCGTGCAAAAGCCGAGGTAGATGGAGATAGTGCCTCAAGTTTGGGGAGATATTGATTTACCAGCTACGAGGGAAGCAAAATCACCTCATCGTAGAGGCAGACGTAAGTCCGACTTCGTGGCAGCCTTGTGTCTCTAAAGAGCTTCCGATGATGGATACTTGCCTTGGAAGCGATCATGAAGCATCCCACCATTATCTGGGTCTTTTGTGATTAGGCACGGCTGTACGTTCCTTCGTGTGGAGAGAGTGTCCCAATATATCGTTAGAGAGACGGGATCTTATCCCAGTATTGCGGTTTCGAAAGCCTGTCAAGAGTGTGGTGCTGAGATCCAAAAGCCTGTTAGTGGACAATTTTGTCCTTGTGCATAGGATGCTGGTAAATGAGGCTCGGCTTCAACCTCTCAGAGAGAGGGGGGGCTTTACCCGATTTTTTCAACGAATCGATACTCGGATAGCTACGCCTCCATTGGAGGAAGGGAAGTCCCTGAGTGAGGGAAGAGGCAGGGGAAGGTCGCAGGATAGAGATGACACTGCCCCCAAAGTCTTTGTGTAATACACGACGCAGCGCAAAATACACTTTTTATTCCTTCAACAAGTCCTCGGTAAGAAATTTTCAACTCAAACTCCACAAACGACAGAAGTAAAGAAATGCCACAGCGTCGCGGGCACCCTCAAAACTGAATCCAAATAAAAATCAGATACATCCTTATTGTTCACACATTCTTGGCCCCGTTACGCCTTTTTTCGCCTGCCTAATTGTTGCAACATTAACTACCAGCGCTCCGCAATCCTGCTCTCGTCATGGAAAATACTGCCGGTCCCGGTCCCGGTCCTGTTCCCGTGGGAATGTTCCAGATCCAAACCGCGGCCTCGAACGCTGATCGCGATCGTGCGGACTAAACACTCCCCCTCCACCTCTCGGCGGGCCTCCATATCCTCCGCCTCCCCCATAGCTTGACAACCCTAACCCCTCCTCCGGGCCATATGTATCAGGTTTCGGGGACCGCGGCGCCGGCGCCGGGTCGTGGCCAACAAAGCGGTGGTCCTGATACCTCCTGTCCCGCGGGTCATAATCATCGTCTCTCTCCCCTTTCATCTTATAATCGTCGTCTCTCTCCATCCTCATTTTCGCCCCGCCCGAGAAATCCTCGCCGCAAACACTAGTCATATATTCGTGGAATTCTCTCATCGCTTTATCCACCTTGCTGAAATGGCGGACCTCGAGTCTCGCAATTTCTTGGATAATAGAAGGGTCAGGCGTATGGATGCCATCGTTCGTGCACCCGTCGAAAGCCTCATGCTCGGTCAATGCGGCGGCTGCCTGGCAAGCATTGCGGATCTGTCGTCCGTTCCAACGAGTCGCCCTGCCGTCGTTCTGGGCGAAGTGGTTCCTTGCGAATTTCAAGATCTGGTCTTCATCGATCTGCAATGTGCCACGCTTACGCTTCCCGAGCTTTCTGAGATTGGTGGCCCAGATCTTCATCGACTGCTCAAGCTCAAGAGGTGGATAGTACAGCTGCGTGTGGATCCTGGACATGAAAGCTTCATCCAGAACCCCAATGCGATTTGTAGTCAGGAACAGGATGCCAGTGTAGAGCTCGAGGATGCGCAAGAACACTAAAGGGCATTTGAGCACGGTACACTTTGTGACTGGCGAAGGGAAGGGTTAAGTTACCTGATACGACTGCATTCCGCTTTAGATCGTTCTTTCCGCGTGAGGCAAGGAAAACATCTGCTTCATCAAGCAGCAGGACGCAGTCCCACTTCTCGGCTTTGCCGAAGATTTCGTACAGTTGCGTTTCGACCTGTTCTGCGCTCGTTCCAAGGTCTCCACATGTTATGGGGAAAAGGGGTTTGCCCAGCAATTGAGCAACACATTCTGCTGTGGAGGTCTTACCTGCGATAGGTCAGCGATGCAAGATATGGTTGTGGGCTTGATGAAGTTTCAAAGCGGTTAACATACCTACACCTGGCACGCCGTGGAGCAGAATGATCAGCCCGAGGCCTTTCTCCTGGTTGAGGTCGAATTGGATCTCTGGATGAGCGGCCCGCAGACGCTTGTTGCGAAAATGAGACATGGTTTGCGCCTTGACTGTTTCTTTGTTGTCCCGAGTAAGGAACAAGTCATCCCAGTTGTGAGCGTCCGGTCCTTGAGGGCGTAGACAGTTCAGTTTGAGTATAGCGAATCGACGACGTTGAAGGATGTATGCGCACACTCTGTTGGGCAACAAACAATATTCATCGTTCTCAAACTCGCTCCCATCGACGGTCTCGCCTTGCCTTAGATTTTCATATCGAGACAGGAATGGGTCCAGCCGAATCTGCTTGTGCTTCAAATGCTCATCGATATGTGAATCGTCGTATATTTCGTCCATGGCCTCTTTCCATCTTCCCCCCTTTCTGTCCTCCCATACATAGAGTGGATAATCTTCTGTCAAACAAAGATCTAGATCCCAAAGACCGATGCTGGATTCGAATCCCAACTTCATCACCATCTTGGGATTCGTGCGTGCTGTTTCCTTGAAGTCGACAATCACAGAGCCGTACACGTCGCGCTGTCCGGGAGTGACGTGCTCGAACAGACGGCCAGATGGGTGAAAGTCAAGCAGAGGCCCTGAATGAATCCTGTGCTGTGGGACGGTCAATTCCATGAATTGCTTGCCACGCTTGATATAAAGATCGCGCTTCTCTCTCGCTTTCTTCAACAGTCGAACTGGGACGATCTCCAGTTGCTCGATCAACTTTTCGCCCTCCCATGGCTGAAAGTCAAAGTCAACCCAGATGGGCCCAAAGCCATCGCCGTCATAATCAATGCGGTAGCAACGGACGGTCAGTGGAGTGACCTCACTCGCAGGAGCCCGATTGCGCTCATCCTTATTCGGCGGGCTGAGCCTCGGTCGTCCCCCCACTGTCTTTCTCACCCTCCAAAACCCGGCCACACGCTCACCAAGATTCCCGGGTTGACTTGACGGTTTGTCATCCTCGGGGCCGGCATCCGAACTGAATCGCCTGCCTCTCCGCTCGTCCAATGTCACCCACTCGCCTGGCTGATACAGGTACCACAAATCGCGGAAATGGATCTTGGGATACGTGCCGGGGAAGACGTATCGTCTTTGGACGGGCATAAGATCGTCGTCCATGAATTCAATGAGACATGCAAGGTCTTGAAACGCATCATACGTAGTTGTCAGATCCACTCTACGTTGTGCACGCCGCTCTTGACTCAGGAGAGACGACGTGTCCGACTGTCGGCCCTGGTATAAGCTGCCCTCATAGAGGCCAAGGTCGTCTTCGAGGGTTTCCGGTTCATACGTGGTTACGGCACTCGCGGACATGGTAACATCTTCCGGCTTCGGACGTTTTGCCCATAGTTTCGTAAGAAATTCGAACCGTTCCCGAATCTCGTCTTCGTAGGCAACGAGAAATTTGTAGGGTCGCAGCATGACCTTGGGTCCACTGGTCCATTTTTCGCTGGCGATGTCTGCAAGGATGGCGAGGACAGGCTGGGAGTTGATGCGAATACGCTCCGGCATCTCCTTTCGACTCGGTTCAGCGGCGTTGCCGTTTGCAACTTTCACTTTCGCTTTTGCTACCTCTTTCTGCTTATCCCTTACCACCTCCTGATGTTTGATGGCGGCGTCATATATTTTTGCCTCTTCTATGCGATCCTTCATCTCGCGTTCTTCGGCACGTCGCTGCCAGTAGAACTTCGCCGGTCCCTGACAAGTGTCAGCCTTGGTCTGTCAGGTGATTGAATATCACTGAGGGGTAGTTTTCAATACCATCAATACTTCAATCGCGTAGGGGACTTCATCCGGGTAGGCGTTCTTGAATGGGACCCACTGGACTCGATTGAGCATAGCTATCGCTGGCTTGCGTTTGGCTTCTTCTGGGGCTGGCTGGCGAAACTCCTCTCCCGTTGCGTTGTCGAATTGGTTTCCATCTCCGTTGAGGAAGGAAGCGGGAGCAGATTCGCCAGCAGCAGTGGCTTGACCCTGCATTTGCGAAAGTTTCGCCTCGAGATCTATGATCTTCGCCTTCATGAAATGGAGGACGGTAGCAAAATCGGCATCGCCACTCGACGTAGCGAGACTACCACGACGATTTAGATGGTCTGTCTCTGCGTGTAGATTTGTATCTTCATCCTCTTGGGCGAATCGGGTCTCGTGGACGTCCAGTGACGTTTCTAGCTTGGCCTGCTTCGCCGACCGCGAGGTCTCAGCTTTTAGGCTCGGGTCGTCGTCCAGGGTCGAAGGGGACGTCCGTTTGCTACTAGTCGACATGATGACTGCTAGTTGCAAGTAGACAACAAAGGTAGTCCTGTAGCCGAGTGTGTAGCTGCTCCGGGCAGGTTGAAATGAGAGAAGCTAGGCCCCGTAGCAAAGATGTCTGCAGCGGTAACTTGTGGTTTTATGGGAGACGCACCGTCCGTGGATTCCAGGGACGCCGTATGCTGCAATAACAGCACCAGTTTTCTATCCGCAGCCTCGTCTTGTTGGTTGCAGCCATCACGAAAAGGCAACTCACGAGGCAACCGGTGCAGACCCAATGGTTGTGATGCGAACCTCCCCGTCCGCGGTTCCCCGCACGAGAAGGGGGGGGGTGAAACGCCCGACTGCTGTGGCCGCTGCCACCCCATTGTCAAACTAACTGTAAGCCATCGGGAAGGAAGGATTCCAACGTTGGACGAAATTGGGAGTAGGAGGAAGGTATTGGTCGTCTTTCAGGCGAGTGGGCGGCCCGGCCCTTCAGCGCGGTGGTTGACTAATCAGGACTTTGCAGCTCCTTCCCATGATTGGTTGGTCCCACCACTCCGTCCGCCTCACTATAGCCCAGCTATTCGATGATCGCCATAGCGAGGTGCAGATACGCCCAATCCCCCAACCGTTCGTCTTACATTTCTGCCTGTTATTGGAATTTTGGCTGCTTACCATGGCATGCCAACCCCGCTAACGTGGCTCGGGGATCGGGGCAGAGACCACGCCGGCGACCCGGCCCCTCAAAGCCGCCATTCAAGGAACTTGCCTCCACTCTTCTACATCTCCTAGCCAAGGGCCCTCAATAGTGTCATTATATATGCGTTGCTTGATTTTGTTAACACCGTTAAGCAAGATCTGCGCTGTGATGAAGTGTTGAGCGCGGTCCTTTACGACAGGCACCATTCTTTTCCACAAACTTCTTCGCCCCTCGTTCATAGATGCCATAGGCACGATGGTGGACGTGACAAACTCGCAACGAGTGCCGAACCATGGGCACTGGGTGGATCATTTCATGTCAAACGTGGACCAAGACTTCCATCAACCTATGGATACAGACGAGAAGCAACACGCTACACAGGAGGATGCCAATTCTGCCGAGTAAGGTTGAAGTGACAATGCGAAGCATGAATATTGACAGTGTCCCAGAACCGACTTCGCCCTAGCGATGCGAGAGTACCGTAAAATCCTAGAAGCAGAAGGAAGAGAGTCCTCAGTCGCGAGTAGCATTATAGAGTGCCACAGTTGGGAAGAATTGACGGCGTTGGTCGACGAGGCTGAAAAACGCTATGAACGGCTGGGAAGCCACCCTGCTCGCAGACTGAGCCGCACATTTGGCGATCACAGTTCTGCATTGCACGCGTGGGCTGGTCTCCTTCCAAGAGACAGTAGCTTTGCCCTTATGTCCGGGGGTGTAAATCTGCTGCTCCGCGTAAGCCCCAAAGCAATAAGAGCTTGCTACCAGTATTAACGTGATCAGGCAACGGCTCGACGGAGTGTTCAGCGAGAACGAATATGGCAATCTTTGAGGAACTTCCTTGACGTGGTCGCCGACTCGGCACAGAGTTTAAGGCACTATTGCGAAGACAAAGAGCTGCGCAATAAAGCTGAAGCCCTATATGTGGCCATGTTGAGGATGATCGAAGCTTGTATCAACTCATTGGTTCATGAATCCCCATGCAAGTTTGAATAATCTAATCCTGATAGAGTGCTAACAATGTTCAGTGGCAAAGTTCAAGTATGGGTTCGGCGGGGACCGACCAGCGAGTGTGGATGAACGATGTTTGCATTACGATCAAAAGCAAAAGCAGTTCAACAAGCGAGTTGAAGCCCTGACTATGACCAAGATTGCAGAAACGGCAACTGCGACTATTGAAATTCGCCACGCTGCCAAAGACATACAGGATCACGGACGTCGAATGGACCTCCAAATGCGCAGAGTTAATGACACTGTGGAAACTCAGGGTGATATCCTGCTGAATATTCGAGAAATGCTGCGCGGTGTGCTATCAAACGCTGAGTGTAAGTTATGCTTGTCCAACACGAGATCAAGAAGTTGAGACATGTAGGGCAACGAGAAGCCGAAGAGCGGACGTCCCAGATGACCCGTCTGCGAGTGGAGAACTTCCAACTTGGCCTCCAGCATGTGCGCAGTCTGACACCATCAGAGGCGCCATCCGGACTTGCCATGAAATGGTTCCTTTGGAAGATCATCAACGTCGATCCAGACCGCTGCATCACCACATGTACCGAAGAAAAAGAAAGCATGCTCCGGACTGGTCAAGGTCTGAGTCACGCGCCAGCACATGTTTTGAGGATGTTCAGGAACGGTCGAGTCCGAGAATTCTTATCCACCGCGGCATCCGATGCCATCTTTGTCGAAGGAGTACTAGACGGCCAGGAGATGTTGCGTTGCTCACCAATGAGCCTTGCCTGCACCGTCTTGCTAGATGACCTATCTGGTCATTCGCATGTAGCTGCCATCCACTTCTTTTGTGGCTTACACAACAATCCCCAGGACCCTGTGAGCGGCGGAAGAGGCATCGCCAGAGTTCTCATCGGCCAGCTCCTCTGCCTCCAAGACTTTGACTTTACGTTCCTAGACGCAGAGTGGAGGGCAGCGCTAGACCAAGGCAATTACAACGCGACTCTCGCACTCTTTGAGCCCCTCATTGCTCAATTACAAGCGACAATCCTGTTTTGCGTAATCGACGCAGTCACATGGTTCGAAGGCAACACGCGGAGAGAAGAGTCAGACGCACTGATTTCCGAACTTCTCCACGTCGCAGTTGGCTGTGGCCACTTGGTCCATATGAAGCTCCTAATCACCAGCTCATCCAAGAGCAGAGTTTTTGCATCCCGTTTCCAGAAGGGAGAACACAGGGGTTTTGTGGGACTTCGGCTCGATGGTGGGAATGCGGACGTGTCAATGAGGGCGGTAAAGTTGGAGGTTGCGAGGAATAACGTGAGCCTTTCTCCGAGCCCCGGACCTTCGCCGAGGCCGGTTAGCCCGCGTCATCTTGCAAGTTACCCTTGACCAAGGAAAGGGTAATTACTATACATCTGTCCACTATGTATGACACAGCATTACTCGAATAGTAACAAGTTAATCCACGTTCATGCACGAAAACCTCAAGAGCGCCTGCGTCTGAATCACGATGAAACAGAGTGGTCACGGCGACTCATGATGCCCCCTTTTAGTACTTCTCCGTTACGCTGTTCACCGACCAAATTTGACAACAGAAGGTGATTGATAGTGAACTCGACGACCGAGTACGAACACAAAAACGTCATTGAGCATCACACTGCTCGCAATACACAAGAAGAAGCTGATCTCTATGAGTTGGTCTTTCAAGGATCTAAGCAGGGCATGACTATATCTCGGTGAAGGTGGAAGAATAATTCTGCTCTGGTAATTTCCCAGCCATCTTGGATTCGTACGCCTTCCCCAATGGTATGCTAGAATTGTTGTCTCTGTGTGTGAAGGTGCAACTAAGACTCACAATTTCCCATTTCGTAACATAACCCCGAGTGTTCCCAGTTTTTCGTTCCTTCTAAAAAGTTCCACTGTACACACAAGCAACAAACCCATGGAATTGCCTGCTTTTGATTCCTGCCAACCCCTCTGTGATACCAAAGACCAGTAGCAGATACCAACAAAACCATTTTCATGAGGAAATACACGCTTGCCCTGGAATCGAGATAGCGAATCGCTCTTATTGAACGCCCTGCTGATGCCAATGGGAGATATCTCTCTTCCATTTGGCTCAGGGGTGTCAACTTACGGGAGGTGTTGGGTATCGTGGCAACAAGACCCAATTCTGATACCAGAAGAGTGATGACAATAATATGGATAAAGTAGCACTAACACACACACATGCAGCATACCACTTGACTTTTGCTTCATTTCAGAGGCTTCACTTGACGCTACATCCGTATGTCACATCTAAACAAGCTCACTCGTTCACAGCCCCTAGCTGCCTCCATCCTCGGTTGGAGCACGGCGCAGTCGATCAAAGACGTCGATACCACGCCCCACAATTTAATTTACATCCGGCCCGTCCCGCCTTCTCCCCATCATCCTCGCTCTTCCCACATACCCGACGGGGCAAACCCGATAGGTCTATTCCATTCCTTTCAACTCGAAACGAAAAGTGCACGGAGGCTCCTTCCCTTCCCTTCCCTTTCTCTCGGAGAGATAGAACTATCTCCTGCACTCGGACTGTACATGGATGTGGCGGACATCAGGATCAAGAAATGGGAGGACATCGGTACTTGAACATCCTCGCAACTTCCCTCGCTCGGGCTGATATGATACAGTGATAGGACAAGGCGGGACTGAGATATGAACAGAAAGCGGCTAAGGACAGTGTGGTCAAATGAATAGAATAGAATAGAGTAGTGGCCACTACTCTATTCTCTTTATTAAAATTTACCCGCTACTCATATTATATTCATATTCTAATCAAGGTATTCATGAATATTCATGAATACTTTGAGTAGTACGCACGTGATTTTATACGCAGTTTGCACGTGAGCAGCTAGCTATATTAGGTAAAGCTTCCGCCCGCTCCCGCTCTAGCGCCACCTCGCCATCCAATTAGGTGACAGCGAGGCTTGGTAAGCGAACTAAAACACATGAGTCCAAGGAAGATAATTAGTTTATTATTATAGAAATTTAGTACTTAGCGAGATAAATCTTAGCTTAGTTTAACTTGAGCTACTAATAGGCTCCTTAGTTATTTAATAATTATTAAGTAAACCTTGATTTTCTATGGTTACGTGACGTCACTTGACTAGTAATCACTAGTTTTCATGAATATTCATGAATATATATTCTACTGTACTCTAATTTTTTGAGAATTACGCTACTTATATTCTATTCAAGATATTCATGAATATTCATGAATACCTTGAATACCTTGAATACCTTGAATACCTTGAATACTTTTTTGATATACTGGCTAAGGAACAAGAAATTAAGGTTGATTGGCAAGAAATGTTGATGGTGAGGGAGATTGGATTAGAAAGAAGGAGCGGAAGAGGGAGATAGAGAGTTGAGGGGGCCAATGAGAGGAGTGATAGTCGACTGAGGGGGCTAATGGGAAGAAAGAGTAACTGATGGGGACCGATGGTGAAGTACTGGTACTTGGCTCGCTCGACACATAGATATGAGACGGATAGTGGAGCGAGGTGATGTGATAATAGCGGGTCCCGATGCTCTGGTCCTGGTGCTTTCCATCCTGGGTTGTTATAGAATAATTCTCGAGAGAAGGAGAGAGAGAGTGTGTGAGGCAACGATAACAAGTGGTGAGGGGCGATTCCTGAAGATGCTTTCTTTATTGGATAGGTCGCGTGTTATGCCCGACTGCAAGTCCTCATGCGTGCCATTGTAATTATGATGGAAATATCTTGGAACGGAAACAACTCATTCCCCGTCCAACGTCGTTTTTTCCAGCTATGAGAATGCGGGATGTGCAAATGCCATATCCTAGAAAGATCTTTCTGTGATACCAAATCTACTTGATGAGAAAGAAAGATATAGGGATGGCCAAAATTGAAAAAAGTTACGTAAAACTAAAACATACTGTTTTTTTATATTTAAACCAACTTTATATGAGGTGTAATGCAAATTTAAGGATATGTTAAAAAGAATAACTCGACTTATGCAAAAAAACCTCGACGTATATATAGATTTTAATTCATTTCTTTACTTAAATTTCGGGTTTATCCATTTAGTGAGAATATGCCACGGACCTACATAATATAACACATATTAATTAAAAGGGCAATACATTTAGTTTAATAATATTGATCACTCGACATCCTTACGTATGCCACCCCTAGAAAGAAGGAGGGGGAATAGGAGGTCGTAAATTGGCGAGTGAGAAAGGTTTCCGCTCACTTTACTTTCTAATCTGATTCAAGGGGCTGAACTCTGTCTTTGTATTCCCCGAGGTGACATCTTAAGCAGACAGGCTCGAGCTGGGATAGATGCAGTATCAGGGTTCTGTCCGCGATGAGCGGCTTTGCCATTCCTCTTCCCCGCGCTACGTTTTATTTAGGAAGGGGAGGGGAGAGTACAGGATTTTTTTATCGCAAAATGCATCCTTCAAAGTGGCGTAGCAGCGCCGAAAACGAGACCGAGCCTCCGAACTGGAATTTGGCTTATGGGCATCCCCCTGAGCGATGATGATTAAAGGGGAAGGATTCTCGTAAGATGCGCTTTTGAACTTCAAGCCAAATGATATTGAGCAAGAAAGGGGCGCATGAAGAGATGGAACTACGGACGGCAGTACCTCCGCATCGAAGGCTCCAGGCGGAGAGCGGGGTAATGAAAACGTCTGTAACTAGGGCATGATTTTGAGAAGATAAAAATCGGTTGATTGTTCAAGTGGCGCGTGGGGGTTACACAAGAGAGGAATTAAAGTGAGGGTGGATGGGGTGGTTGAGCGGAGATTGGGAACCCAGGCCATGCTCTCGGAGAGTCCGGCTCCAAGGTTGAGGATTGCAGGGAGAGTGAGTGGTGAGGGGCTCGGCCTCGTGTTATCCCACGGGGCTGCTGGAGGAAAGAAAGGCAATCAAACGACAACCACAGTACCCTAATAGAAAATCGCAATAAAAACCCGCAGAAAATTGAGAGGCATTCTGAAGCAAGAGAGGTCTTGGAAAGGCATTAGTGCAAGGAAGGAAACAATGTGCTGGTTGATCTTTGAAACTGGATTCGGGAAGGAAGAGGGGAGCTGGGGGCCAAATGCGAGCTGGCACATTCCACGATGCAGCTGGCCGTCCATTCGGAGCATTCTCTCATATCCCAGCTGTCGTTCCCAAGCAAGCACGCGCACGCGGGCCGAATAGAATCCCACTCGGTTTGCTCAAATTCACAAATATGACAAGTCACGACGCAACCCCCCTGGCCATGCTTCCAAGTACCGGAAAGATGCTTCCCCAAACCGGTACTTCGTGTGAGGGAGGGTTGGGGATGACGGCTGTTCTTCTTGCTGACGCTTTTGCGTTCCCCGGGACGTTGGAAAAATTTCGAAAGAAAGAGCTTAATTCTGACTGCGTCCGCTTCGGGCCGGGTGTCTCGGTACGGAAGGGCATGTTCGCGTGGCCCGCTGAAGGTGGAGAGCTGTGCAAGCTTCCCTCCTCTGGTTCATTAATCAATTCTTCAGCGCATTATTGTTCGGCACATGCAAACCAGCAACACTCAATTTGTGAATGTGACAGACTGTTCCGGTCCCAGACCCCTTTTCGTCTCCAGCTGCGATGCTATGCTATGCTATGCAAGCATTCACATCAAACGAGTACCTATCGGCTATCTCGACGCTTGAGATGCGGTGTGTACGTGTGAACCTTGACCGAGGAACGTTGAGAGGAAGAGGGGGTCGAGCATCGAGCCACTCCCTCGGATCCCCGGCTCGAATCAAATCCACGGGCGTCGAACGACAGGACAGCCACACGCTTGAGCCCTGGGGTGCACAATGCGAGTAATGGCTCCCATCGCCTCTGATTCGTGCTCTGATTCGCTGTGCTGGATTGCGAGTGCGCGAATGGACAGAGAGGGGAGCTGCAATTGCCCCTCCCCCTCTCTGCACAGACCTCCTTGTCGCTTCTAGAACACCGCCCCTTCTGGCAAGTGGAGAGATTGGTGAAGTGGCGGGCGCAGAGCGTTATGTGCTGCATGAGAGGACGAGGGGTTGTGTGGACGGGCAAGGGCTGCTGGGGATGCAGGCAGGTGAGGGGAAGTGTGCATGTGATGTCAGGTCGAATCAGGATTCATTGAGTAGTGGACGAGTGACCTCGGACGACCCAGGTCTGTGGATTGGGTAGGGGTAAGAAGATGGAACGCGATTATGTACGTGGATGGGTCGGAGCTGAGAATTGTCCGTGAGATTGGGAGTTTGGAGGGGGAGGGTTGCCTGCTTCAGGGGTGCTCCGATGGCTGACGGAGGGTTGAGTTTGACCGCTTCTTTGGCAGACGGAGAGGTGGCGATAGTTTGAAGGGAATGAAGTGGATATTATGAGAAGTTAATAAGAGCGACTGTTCTCCCTGTTAGGTTAGGGTGTTGAAATCGCCTAAAGCGCCCCGTTTTAATAGGTCTAATGCTATCACGTGATAC